TAGATGGAGCCATCGGCCAGGATGGGGTTGCCGGTGGACGTGAAAGTCTTGGAGGTCGCCTGTCGGCGGACAGGGATGACGCCTGCATGCAGGGGCTGAGCCAGCAGCGAAGTAGCGAGGCAAGCCCGCAACAGGTTGGAGAGCATTTTGAGAAATGATCGGAGAAAAAAAGAACGACTGAATGGATACACACACAAAAGAAGGACGGTTGAAAGAACGAACAAGCTCACTGAGTTGACTTGGAACTCGAGTTGGCACTAAGCTCGGGGAATTCTTCCAAAGGGCTGAGTGTCAGGTTTTAAAGAGACTTAACTGGATTAACCTTAGGAGGGGCATCCACTTTTCCTCATCCCTGAATTTCGCTCGTGATACGAATAAATTGACAATTGCACCAGATCAGCCAACAGGGGGCAAATCATCACTAAGTGTGACGGCGTCTAGCCACTTAAACTGGGGTAGCCATGAGACTCGGTTGCGTTAAACGACCTGCCCAAAGCAACTAAACGGAGCAACCCGGCTCAACTCAGCCATATGTCAGCGACCTTTTGCTGCCCGTTCTCATCCCCTTTGAACATTCTTCAACTCCGCCCTACTCTTAAGTACTATAAATGCGTTTTGCTCAATACGAGGTTGCCCCTCCAAGACTACGACGAGCCATCCGTGGATTTTGATTTCCCCGGTGGGAGGACCGGGGCGTATCATTGCGACTCTTTCTACTTGCGACCCAATCACGTTGCGCAGAGACCGACACCGAAGGGTTGCATCGCACGGGGGATGGGCAGGTGTACCCCGCGTTTGCTGCCCATTCCGTGCATGAGAGCAGGGCACCAGGCTTGGTGGGATGGTAAGTTAACGGTTCGCTTGAGGGCATCGCGTAGTTGGCCCTCGTTGACCGGGAAGATAGTGGTCGCGATGCACAGAACTCGGATCATCCGCCCGATCCATGGTTGCATTCGGTTGCCTGGCCCGAACCAAAAAACAAGCAATGCGAGTCTTGAAGCGAAGATCCACCATCGCTTTGCTTGATGTTTCCTCAATGGACCAAAGAAGCGATGGAATCTGTTCCACCGAGGCGTGGGATTCATCGGGAACGACACCGGGTTCAATGTAGCATCGCCCAACTGCAGGAACGTAGATCAGTCATAGTCTATCGCCTTTCTAGAATGTCCCTCAGAGTTGAATGGTATGGTGCCATCAATAGTGTGATCAGAATCCAATACAGAATGTCTATATAATCATGATGGTCCGTTGGCGTTTGTAGCCAGAGTAGCGGTTCAGACAAGGCAGAGCAGTCCAGCTCCTCATGATCTCCGCCATGAAGTTCACCTTTGTGCTCGCCAGCCTGGTGGCGACCGTCTTCTGCCAGGACAACTTGGGGCTAAGCAATGGTTACATCGCCCTCACAACCGCAAACTTCAACCTCCAGCTCGTCCGCAACGCCCAAGTTCTCGCATCCCTGAAACCCGCGGGCGACACCTTTGATTTCCTCCCCTTCGACTACCTCTCCAAGCGTGCTCGCAACGGCCAATACCACTGGGGCGACATCACCTTCCGCTACCGCCAGTCCGGTGCCACAGCATGGACCGACGGCAACTCGGCATCAGCCCGGCAAACGGTCACGGCCCTCACCGTGGGGTCCGGCGTCCTCGCCTCCTCCCGTCTCGGCCCCACTCTGCCGACCGGACCTTTGAACATCACCCGCGAATGGCTCGACGTCTCCGGCGACCTTGGCCTGCGCTTCACAATCCAAAACTCGGGCTCCTCCGCCGTCGAGATCGGCAGCCTGGGTTTCCCGGCCGAGTTCAACTCCATCTTCACAAACCGCCTCGCCACAGATATGCAACGCCTGTGCTCCCTCTCAGATCCCTACATCGGCATGCACGCCGGTCAAATTCGCGTTGCCCCGATCCGCGGGACTGGCGCTGCCCTTGTCGTGACTCCGCTTGGAGACACGCCACTGGAAGCGTACCGCAACCTCCCCGAGACGTACTACTCCGACACGGCCTACGGCAGCCAGACCTTTGAAGGCTTCTACGAGTGGCAAACCCTCACCAAAGCCTGGGCTGAGAACGAATGGCGCGCACAAACACCCTGGAACACACCCTCTTCAAAGACTCTTCAACCCGGCCAGTCTCTCCAGTTCGGCGTCCGCTTCTCCGTCGCAAAGTCTGGCGTGCGCGGACTCGACGCCGCGGTTCGGGGCACCAACACTCCCACCGCCGTGGGCGTGCCTGGCTACATCGTCCCCCGCGGCGAACCAGCTCAACTCTTCCTGCAATCTCAGTCCGCCGTCAAGTCCCTGGTCTCAGAGCCCGCCGGCGCACTCACCGTGACCCTTGTCTCATCTGGCAAATACACCGTCACCCCCTCCGCCTCCGCTTGGGGCCGCGTCCGCCTGACCATCACCTACGCCGACAACAAGATCCAAACCGTCCATTACTACGTCACCAAGCCCTCCACCGAAGCCGTCGCAAGCCTCGGCCGCTTCCTCACGACCTCGCAATGGTTCAACGACACATCCGACCCCTTCGGCCGCTCCTCCTCCGTCATGACGTACGACTACGAGACAAAGTCCATCGTGACCCAAGACTCGCGCGCCTGGGTCGCCGGCCTCAGCGACGAAGCCGGCGCGGGCTCGTACCTCTCTGCCTTCATGAAGCAGGCCATCCAGCCCGCCGCAGACGAGGTGACCAAGCTCGAGCAGTTCGTCGACAACGTGCTCTGGAAGACGATCCAGACGACCGACTTTGGCGTCCGCAAGAGCATTTTCTTCTACGAGCCCGCGGCTGTGCCGAACTACAGGTACAGCACAAGCATCGACTGGACGTCATGGACGTCGTGGAACAAGGCGGCTGCGTACTCGACTGATCGCGCGTATAACTATGTTCACGTCGCGGGCGCATATTGGTCGCTGTACCGTGTCGCGCGGGCGTACCCGGCGCTGGTGAAGAGCCACACGTGGGATTGGTATCTGAACCAGGCGTACAGCACGGTCATCAGGGGTATGAGGAACGATGTTGGGTACAACCGTGTCGGGCTAATGGGGGAGACGGTGTTTGGAGAGATTTTGACGGATTTGATCCGCGAGGGGCAAACCACGAAAGCGAATACTCTGTCGACGAGCATGCGGTCGAGGGCGGCGCAGTGGGATACAGAGGAGGTGCCGTTTGGAAGCGAGATGGCTTGGGATTCGACTGGTCAGGAGGGGGTTTACTACTGGGCCAAGTGAGTTTTGGCTTTCTCAATGGTGATCGTTGAATATGCTGACTTGAGTCTTACAGGTACTTTGGTTTCACCAACACCGCCACAAAGTCGGTCAACAGCGTGCTGGGTTTCATGCAGACCCTTCCTCACTGGGGCTGGAATGGAAACGCCCGTCGATACTGGGACAACATGTGAGTCTTGCTATTTATACTACGACTTGCCCCCTCCGTGCATGCTCCGAGGGTCATTCTTCAATCCTATCTTTGCACCCATCACACATGGATACCCAATACCCATTACCCGCATCCATGGGTATCCATCGATATCCAACTCACAAACCCATGGATATCCAAAACGACTACCCATTATCCATGGATATCCAGAGCCATGCCCATAACCCAGATCCTACCCAAGCCCATGGGGACCTATCCATGATAATTATCCACTACCCCTTATCCAGATCATACCCGCGGATACCCAGAACGATATCTATATCCTACCCACTCTCGCAACGTTACCGGAATCATTCACATGCCTACATACATGGATACCCGAATGGATACCTGCGTTCAATCCGAACCATATTCACGGATACCCATTACCCATTACCCATTACCCATGGATACCCATATTCGCGGATATCCATAACCATAGCTATACCCAAACCATCTTGCACCCAATTTATCTTACTAGGCAGAGCACTACCTTAGACCAAGTGGGTTAACTGATGTTCCCTTACTGTAAAACGCCTTACGAATACTGGTTAGACTGGGAAGTCCCTCCACATACCTACTTACCTAGTCAAATCATACCCATAACCACACCCATACTCATGGATATCCATCACTTCCCACTACCCATTACCCATATGGTTGTTCATATGGATACCCAAATCCAAACCAATCCGTACCCATGGGTATCCATTTCCATAGAATCCATACCCATAGATACCTACTACCCAACCGGTACCCATACCCATACCCAAGGATACCCATATCTAACTCCAACCCATACCCAAACCCGTGGACACCCATCCACTCCCCACACCCATCCCAACCTCACAGCTAACACCCCCAGCTACGGCGGCAAACTCCGGCGCATCGAGCGCCAAATCCACCACTACGGCTCCGCCCTCAACGCCCTCCCCCTCCTCTCCGCCTTCCGCTCGTCCCCCACCGACACCTACCTCCTGCGCACCGGCTACGCCGGCACCACCGGCCCGCTCTCCAACATCAACGCCGACGGCTTCGCCGCCGCCTCCTTCCACTCCTGGCCCGACACCCTCAAGTGGGACGGCATCAGCGGCGACTACGGCCCGGGCTTCCTCGGCCTCGCCCTCGGCTCCGGCACCTACGTCGTCCAGGACGCCGAGCTCGGCCTCGTCGCGTTCGGCGGTACGCTGACGTCGTCGGGCAGCAGTGTGAGCGTCGTGACGAAGGATGCGGTCAGGCGCAAGGTGTTTATCGGCCCGTTGGGGGTGTTGGTTAGCGTGGATGCGGGGATTGTGAGGGAGGTCAAGTATGTTGCGGCGTCGAAGACGGTGGAGGTCACGTTGGCCCAGCTGGATGGCGTCCCCAAGGCGGCGAATGCGGTTGTCTGGGTCGAGGGTGGTGGAAGCTGGAAGGTTACCGGGTCGGGCGTCACCCAGGCGAGAGGAGGTTGGCAGGTTGCCCTCTCGGGGGACAGTGTTGTCATCCAAGTTCTTCCCGCTTGAGCTCTTCGGGGTGTCTATTTCTATTCCGTGTACATATTCCACAACACCTATTCAATCACACACATCAATCCCCGGAAAGCCATCACAACTCCTTCTCCAACACCACAAAATACAAATCATCCCTCAACGCCTCGCCCCCCACCAGCTCCTTATACGGAAACTCCCTCCTCTCCCCCGTCCTCCTGTACCCCCTCCTCTCATACCACGAAATCAGCTCCTCCCTAACCCAAATAACCCACATCTCAATCCTCCCCACCCCCCACTCCCGCCGCGCAAACTCCTCCGCATACCCCAACACCCTCCGTCCGACCCCGCCGGCCTGCCTCTCCGGATCAACCGCAAACAGCCCAAAATACGCCGTCTTCCCGTCCGGTTTGCGGAGCACCTCGCAGCACGAGAGCGGCGCGCCCGCGTCCCCGTCCGTGACCAGCAGCACCACCCCGTCCGGGTGGGCGATCTTGCCCAGCAGCCCCGCCTCGTCGATGCGCTGGTCCGCGACGAGGTCCGCCTCCGTCGTCCAGCCCTTGCGCGAGGAGAGCCCGCGGTAGGCGGAGCGGATGAGCGGGAGGAGGAGCGGGATGTCGGCGGGGGTGGCGGGGCGGAAGGAGAGTGGTGGTTGGGGGTGAGAGACTGTCATTTTGTGTGTGTGGTGGTCGTGGTTTTGATGTTGCTGTTGAGCGGTTTGTCGTTGGTGAGGAAAAGACAGTTGGAGTTGCGGCGCGGTCTTGTGTCGCGATTGGACGGCTTTGAAACAACTCTCACGTTATACAAAAAAGGTGATGACGACTGAAAGATGCAGTTAAGAAACTTGACTTTAGACACTCGCAAATCTCGAATCTGGAAAACACCCCAGATCTTAAATAAACCCCCACCACACCGCATCACACCAGAATCCACAGGGACCTTAAAGTCGCATCATATCGCAAAAGCCCCATCCAGACCGAGTTCCACACATGCCTCTCTCTGCTTTGACACAGGATACACGGCAAATTTCGCCCCCCAAAACCCCCATTGCCCTTTCCAATCCCTTACCAAGGCTGTTCGAATCCAAAACGCCCACTAAATCTACCCGCCGGCGCCACCGCCAAAGACCCCACCGCGAGTTCAATTAAGGGCGCGCGACACGGACGACACGAATGACATTTTCGACACGTTACCGCCCTGCCGGACGCCTGCCGGTGTCTTTCCGCCGAGGTCGGCCCCAATTTCCTCTCTTCGACCCGAGTCAAGTTCGGCGGTAAGTGGGCGCCCATCGAACACAGAAGCAACAATGACGTGCCTGGGCTTTATCTCAACTTTCCCCATTTAGACTGGAAAGGAAATTTACGCAGCCATGATTTGCTACGTTCACAAATCAAAAATGACGGACATTGAACAAGTGTCATTCAGCCCTTGAGTGACATTCCATTCACAACAAAGATATACACCATTCTGTCCATCACATAGTCCAAGACAGAAGCAGCGTTAGGGGGAAAAGGCTCACGCAAGCTCCGATATTTTCTAGATCGTGGGTATCACTACAACACGCTACACTCAGATACGATGCCACGCCATGCTCATGCTTCGCAATGCAATGCCAATGTTTCGTTTCAATGCTCTCTCCCTGATCCTGCGCCCCTTCCCATGGACCGAAGAAGGACAAGCTCTTCACTTTCTTCCCTTGGGCTCGCGCACCTTCACGCCCTGCACCGAATCCCACACGCTCGCGCTCACCTTGCGCGGAATCTTGCGCCCCCGCAACCGCTGGTCAATCAGCCACATGCCCACCACAAACTCCTGCTTGCTCAGCATCCCGCGCCCGCTGCGGTCGACCAGGTCCCACACCTCGGCGAGCTCCTCCGCCGGCAGCCGCGACCGCCGCCAGATCTCGCGCGCCACAATGTTGGCCACGCAGTCGGCCGCGTCCTGCGGCGGCGGCAGGACAGCATCTGACTGCAGCGCCTGCGGGAGGAAAGGAGTTAGCAGCAGAGTGCCGCGGTTGCTCGCCCAGACAGCCTCGTACCGGCGGCGCTCGCGCTCGGTGATCTCGTCGCGCCAGCGGCGGCGGGCGCCTTCGGCGTGGGAGTGCTTGTTGCTAGCCTTCTGGTGCTTCTTCTTGCGGATTTCGTCCTCGTCGTCGGACTTTGACGGGGGCTGGCGGAGGGTCTGCCGAAGCCGCGGGGACTTTGTGCGGTTTGGGAGGGCAGGCGGGGAGAGGGTCGAGTTGCCTGTGTTAGAGGGCGTGAGGCGCGCTGCGGCGAGGGATCCGGCCATGATGGCGTTGGAGAGGGAGTTCAGGGGCAGACTTGTTGTAGATGACGCCGGCGTGCGGCGAGGCGTCGCGCGGGTGGGCGAGCTGTTGACAGAAGAGCGGCTAGGTGTGCTAAGCGCCGAGTGCGTCTGGAGGTTTGGCGGTCTCCCAGGGGTCGCATCAGGTACGGCCGTCAAGCCGGAAGACGCGGACACGAAGGTATCGTTAGATGAGCTCGTGTCAGCAGTCGATGGCCGGGTCGCGGAAGTCGGACGTGAGATCTCCTGCAGTGGAAGGCCGTGACCATAGACCGATGCCATGCTCCTGGGCTTCCTCAATGGGGGCGCTTCCGGCTCCTTCGCTTTTGAAGCTGTACCGCGGGGTTGAGGTGGCGTAGGCGGCCGGATCTTTGCTTTTGACGCTGGCCGCTTAGGTTGAGGAGAGACAATTTCCGTCTGGACCCTGCTGACTGTTGGTGGTGAGCTCGGGGCCGCCTGCTTTGCCTTTGTCGTGCGTGACCTCCGTGGCTCAGGAGCAACAGGAGGCTCTTTCGAGTCTGGTCTCGCAGGCTGGACGGAGGCTGCCTTGGCCAGAGACGGCATCGACCGCTTCTCCACGACCTCAGCAGCAGGCTGCAACCCCACAGGTGGTTTCCTCTTCTGCACCACCTGCTCCGACTCAGTCCTCCTGTGCGGCGACCTCTTGGCCGGCGAACCAGGCTGTTTCGACGGTTTCGCAACCGGCTTCTTCACCCCCGCATCCGACATCGTCCTCTGAAGAGCCGGTGTAGGCGTAATCGGCCTCGGCTTGGGCTTCGTAACCGGCTTCTGGCTCTTCGGCGTGACAGCCTCCACCTCCCTCTCCACCGGCGTGGGCGTGATCGGTCTCGTCTTGACCTTCGGCTTCGGCTTCACCACCACCGGCCTCTCCTCAATACCCATCCTCGCCGCCTTGGCCCTCGCAGGGCTCATCTCCCTCTCCGGCGTCATCGTCCTCACCGCAGGCCTCCTCCTGCTGTCCCCGCCGCTCTTCTTCACCGGGTCGACGTCCTCGCTCCGCTCAAACATGGTAATCAGGTGTCCGGTGGCCGGTATGGACGTCGTATCAGGCAGGCCCATCATCCCCTCCTCCTCGTCGAGGCTATCCCTCCGGCTGCGCAGGCTCCGCGCGCTCTGCATCTGGTGCAGCTGGTTCACCTGCGCGGGCGTCAGCGCGGACGGGCTCGGGTGCGGCTGCGGGCTAGGCGAGGCGCTGCGCGAGGCGGCCAGGGCGGCGGCGATGTAGCTCGGGCTCTTGGGGTCGAGCTTCGTGTGCGGCGTCAGGTGGGATGCCGTCGAGGCGGCGGCCGGGCTGCTCGCGAGGAAGGAGGACAGGCGGTCGCGCATGTCGGCGGTGCCGTCGCGGCCGAAGGTAGTGCTCGTCGCGACGCTCGTGCCGGTGTGCTGGCGCTGGATCGGGCTCGTGCTCCTGCTGCGGTCGGCGGCGGCGGTTGCTGCGAGCGCCGGGGCGAGGCTGCCTACGCCCCCGCGGGCTCCGGCGGTGGTAGTCGGTTTCGGAGGCGGGACGGGCTTGGGCTTGGTCTTGCTGAAGGCGAGGTTTGCGCCCTTCAACGCCGCGGCAGCGTCGGAGGCGCCGCCGCCCGTGTGGTGGTGGAGGCTCTGCTGTGTGTTCGTCATCATGCCGGTTGACGGCCGCGGGGTGGGATGGTAGTCGAGGGTGGGAGGAGTGTCGGCATCGGATTGGGAGGGGGCTTGGTTTATGCGGTCGACGATGGTTGGAGCATTACGTGGGAGATGTCGGTATTTCGAGGGAGAAACGGTCGCGATGCCCGCCCTAGTCTGCGATGTATTTGTGCCAGTGTGTGTTGCTCGGGGGCAGAGTCGAGGGAAGGTATGAGGTGTCGTTTGTTTGATGTAGGTAGGTAAATAGGCAGAAGATACGAGGAGGTGTCAGGGGGAGGGAGACGGAGACGAAGACGGAGTGCGTGGTGTGTGAGTGTGGTCGTATTGGATCCGGCTGCGCCGCAGAAGTGGAAATACCTAGGCAGGTAGGTTACTCGGGCTGTAGCTGATTATTGATTATCCACCTTCACCAACGCAAATAGCAGCTGCCCACCGCACTCTCCGCGTCTGCTGCTGCTGCTGCTGCTGCTGCTGAGTGAGCTCCAGCTTTCTGCCTTTCTGCCCGTGCGGAGAAGGTCGTCGGATGGGATGATTGGGGGAAGCTGCGGCGCATTCAGACGAACGGGTGGCCCGGTGACCTTCTTCTCAGGCGGTGGAATGGATGTTCCTTCCAGGTCTCTCCCTCTGCGACAAGCTCCGGCATTCCACTGCTAACTGCAGCACCTGTAAGGCTGAGACACGGCGCCGCTCTTGACACCCGACAGCTGCCTGTGTTCATCTGCAGGGGGCAGGTTCCCATCCTGACACAGTGACGCAAAGAATAATATATGGGGAACTGAATTTGGGGGAGAGCCGAGGAACCGCCAGGGAAACACAAACCACCACCGAAGATCTCGACATCACCGGCGTCGTCATAGCGGATCTTCTGGAAATCTGCCCTGACTAGACCACCACCCCGTCACGCTGCCGACGGGCTAATAAAGCCTACCTAGGTCTCCGTTCATTCCTTCATTCGGAGATTCTGTCAAGTTTTAGCTCCCGTGTTACCGGGCCTCCCGCCCATCGCCTCTCACTCACCACATGATCCGGCATCCTCGGCATTTATCAGCATCACCGGACCAAACACACAAAAGCCATGATAAATCAGCGATGCACGCATCACCCCTTTTTGTACTACTTTAAGAAATACCTACTGGGTCCATGGTAAAAAAGAGTTGGGCTTTAATAGCAACAACACAAAACTACAAAGTCTTACAAAATAAGGCTGACAGAAAAAAGAAAAAGGAGCACACTCCGGATGCGACCCGCCGCCAATGGTCGAGTAATCGAAAAAAGGCCAAAATCAAACGCAAACAAATCGCAAAACCAAACTCCGTTTGTTTGACCGACCCCTCCCTTTCCCTTTACACCTTCCTTCGAAAATGAGGTATCGCAAAGACACCCGTTTCCTCCCGTCCGCCCGTCCCTCCACCGAATGGGTATGTCCGACCAAAAGGAGAGAGAACCAAAGCCGTCTCGAGGTCGGGGCTATACATGTGCAGACGGAAGTCTGGAAGAAGTAATAACGACACAAGAAAAAGAAGAAGCAAAAAAAATGTGGGCGTGTGTGTCGGGTTTCGTCCGCAGACACGGAGTCTTTGTTCAGAGAGAGGGTGAGTGGGTGTTGGGGGAGATGCTCGGTGTCCTTTTGTGTTGCTGAAAAGACAATACGTCGTGAATTTCGACTTGGTTGATCGTTCCAGACATGAGAGGGGGGACGTAATCATCCGACATTATCATCAAAGT